CCGATGGTAAATGTGACGAACAGAACCGGGATAATAGATGCAATATTCTTACTCAGTTAACGCAAAATAAGATAAATCCTAATAATGTCAAACTGTTAACTGATGATAATGCGGGGCTCGATTTCCTGACATTATGCGCAGTAAAGAAGTCAGAGGAAGAAATGTCTTCTGAAGCTGTGCCGGAAATGGATACGACTTACATTCCTGCGCCAAAACCAATTAAAGATTTGTTCAATTTTGTAGTGCCTAATATAGAAATTCTTAATAGTTTAGCTTTCTTAACGGAAGATAATTTAACGCAATGTAAAGACAATGAAGATGAGAATATTTATGACGCTAATGATTGTATTAATGTTGATGATGATAACGTTTGGTGCACTATACGAAATGAGAAGAGTGTTGATAACGGTGAAATAAGATTCGAAGATATACTTGATGAGAGTTCCGACTCGAATGAAGCAGCAGTTTCGTATCTAAACCATCTAATTACAGATATGGAGATAAATTCGATTAACACGAATAAAGCTTCTACATCTGAAATGAAAGAAAATAATGAAATTATAACTGGCACGAACACCGAATTGTCAACTAATGCACTAGAAGACCTGGAACCTTCCATATTTGAAAACATATTAAATGAATCATTTAGTTCAGTCGAAGACGATTTAGAAGATAAGGATGATACAGCAATGGGAAATACAGAATCTCCAAATTCTTCAAACGTTTCTATTCATGCAAGAGAAACCAATGTCACGCATGAGACTAACGTTGATACTTTTCATAACGAAGATAATGTTGCTAAAACTAATCAAAATCTATCATCATCTATGAAACTCGTTGAACCTTATCAAATGAAAAAAATTGTAAGTTTTATAGATGAAATACAAGATGTTGATTTTAATAGCGATGATGATATAAGTGAATTTGTTAAGTATGACTCAAATAAAAATAGATCAATGCGTAATTCCAAAACAGAAGAGAGTCTGTTGTCCATAACTCAAGCTATTGGCGAAATAGCACGAGGGAAAAAACATTTGGAAACATCAAGGACAGTAAGTAAAGAAGAATCGACTAACGAAGAAAGTAGTGGCTGGATTTCAGTCAATACTAAAAATGAAATTAAAGTTGGGAAAAGCGACACGAGTTCGAGAACAGACAACATCAC